CACGCGCCGGCTCCCTAGCTCCGGCCTGAGTCCAGCTACACGTTGGTGGGGCGCGTGTCGATGATGGCAGCGCGTGAGACGGTGGTTCGGCGGCAGTACGAAAAGAAAGATTTTCCTAACTTAGTTTTTTCTAGAGTTTTTGCTTGCAAGTTTTTACCTTTCACTTGAAAGGGTTTTTCTTGGTTTAAGCAATTAGGAATCTTCTTAATTTCTGTTAATTTAGTTTAAAATAATTTCTAAGTCAATTAGGAATTGTTTTAAGAAGTTTTAGGTTAATTAGAACTAGTCTTATTACTAGTTTCCTAGTTCCATTAGAATTGGTTCTCCTATTCTATCTAGGATACTTGGGGATCAAGGCTAGGGTTTTTTCCTAGTTCGAATAGACTTAGGAATAGTTAGTTTTAGTCTATAAATAATGTAATTTTCGTGATTTTTCAGAACATTCGAAAATCATTAAAATTCAAGTTAATTGTTTGTTTTGCTTAATTGCTTACAAATTCTTTTGCTAGTTTTCAATTCAAGGAGTTGTTTTGATAATTAGAACGTTCAATTCTTAGTTCTAGGAGTAGTCTAAGTTTTGTTCATCAAAGTACTTAGTTCCAGGAGTGGTCTAGGTAATTTGAGAGGCGTTGAATTCGTTCCAGGAGTGGTCGTTTTCAAAGTCATATCCGGTTCGTTATTCTTAAGTTGTTCGATTTTCTTAGGAAATTCGAAGGGCTTGTGTTACTTGTGTGATTTTAGATTCTTTATTAAGTTAAGGGGTTTAAATCCACATCACAAATGAAAGTCAAACACATTCAAACAAAGCAATTTGAATCAAATGAAAGTCAAACACATTCAAACAAAGTTATTTGAATCAAATATGAATCAAATACATTCAAACAAAGGTTTTTGAATCAAATGAAAGTCAAATACATTCTACAAAGCTAATTGAATCAAATGAAAGTCAAACACATTCAAATAAAGCTATTTGAATCAAATGAGAGTCAAATACATTCAAACAAAGCTAATTAAATCAAAGAAAGTTAAATACATTCTACAAAGCTAATTGAATCAAATGAAAATCCAACACATTCAAATAAAGCTATTTGAATCAAATGAGAGTCAAATACATTCAAACAAAGCTAATTGAATCAAATAAAAGTTAAATACATTCTACAAAGCTAATTGAATCAAATGAAAGTCAAAAACATTGAAACAAAGCTATTTGAATTAAATGAAAGTCAAATACATTCTACAATGCTAATTGAATCAAATGAAAGTTAAAAACATTCAAACAAAGCTATTTGAATCAAATGAAAGTCAAATACATTCTACAAAGCTAATTGAATAATATGAAAGTCAAATACATTCAAACAAAGCAATTTAAATCAAATGAAAGTGAAATACATTTTACAAAGCTAATTGAATCGCATGAAAGTCAAACACATTCAAACAGAGCTATTTGAATCAAATGAAAGTCAAATACATTCTACAAAGCTAATTGAATCAAATGAAAGTCAAACACATTCAAACAAAGCTATTTGAATCAAATGAAAGTCAAAACGTTCAGACAAAGCTATTTAAATCAAATGAAAGTGAAATGCATTCTACAAAGCTAATTGAATCAAATAAAAGTCAAACACATTCAAATAAAGCTATTTGAATCAAATGAAAGTCAAACACATTCAAACAAAGCAATTTAAATCAAATGAAAGTCAAACACATTCAAATAAAGCTATTTGATCAAATGAAAGTCAAACACATTCAAACAAAGCAATTTAAATCAAATGAAAGTGAAATGCATTCTACAAAGCTAATTAAATCACATAAAAGTCAAACTCATTCCAACAAAGCTATTTGAATCAAATGAAAGTCAAATACTTTTTACAAAGCTAATTGAACCAGATGAAAGTCAAACACATTCAAACAACCCTATTTGGATCAAATGAAAGTCAAATACATTCTACAAAGCTAATTGAATCAAATGAAAGTCAAACACATTCAAACAAAGCTATTTGAATCAAATGAGAGTCAAATACATTCAAACAAAGCTAATTGAATCAAATAAAAGTTAAATACATTCTACAAAGCTAATTGAATCAAATGAAAGTCAAAAACATTGAAACAAAGCTATTTGAATTAAATGAAAGTCAAATACATTCTACAATGCTAATTGAATCAAATGAAAGTAAAAAACATTCAAACAAAGCTATTTGAATCAAATGAAAGTCAAATACATTCTACAAAGCTAATTGAATAATATGAAAGTCAAATACATTCAAACAAAGCAATTTAAATCAAATGAAAGTGAAATACATTTTACAAAGCTAATTGAATCACATGAAAGTCAAACACATTCAAACAAAGCTATTTGAATCAAATGAAAGTCAAATACATTCTACAAAGCTAATTGAATCAAATGAAAGTCAAACACATTCAAACAAAGCTATTTGAATCAAATGAAAGTCAAAACGTTCAAACAAAGCTATTTAAATCAAATGAAAGTGAAATGCATTCTACAAAGCTAATTGAATCAAATAAAAGTCAAACACATTCAAATAAAGCTATTTGAATCAAATGAAAGTCAAACACATTCAAACAAAGCAATTTAAATCAAATGAAAGTCAAACACATTCAAATAAAGCTATTTGATCAAATGAAAGTCAAACACATTCAAACAAAGCAATTTAAATCAAATGAAAGTGAAATGCATTCTACAAAGCTAATTAAATCACATAAAAGTCAAACTCATTCCAACAAAGCTATTTGAATCAAATGAAAGTCAAATACTTTCTACAAAGCTAATTGAATCAGATGAAAGTCAAACACATTCAAACAACCCTATTTGGATCAAATGAAAGTCAAATACATTCTACAAAGCTAATTGAATCAAATGAAAGTCAAACATATTCAAACAAAGCTATTTGAATCAAATGAAAGTCAAACACGTTCAAACAAAGCTATTTAAATGAAATGAAAGTGAAATGCATTCTACAAATCTATTTAAATCAAATGAAAGTCAAACACTTTCAAACAAATTTATTTGCATCAAATTAAAGTCAAATTTATTCTACAAAGCTAATTGAATCAAATGAAAGTCAAACACATTCAAACAAAGCTATTTGAATAAAATTAAAGTCAAATACATTCTACGAAGCTAATTGTATCAAATGAAAGTCAAAGACATTCAAATAAAGCTATTTGAATCAAAAGAAAGTCAAACAAATTCAAACAAAGCAATTTAAATCAAATGAAAGTGAAATGCATTCTACAAAGCTAATTGAATCACATGAAAGTCGAACACATTCAAACAAAGCTATTTGAATCAAATGAAAGTGAAATATATTCTACAGAGCTAATTGAATCAGATGAAAGTCAAACACATTCAAACAAAGCTATTTGAATCAAAATAAAGTCAAATATATTCTAAACACATTAGAATCAAATAAAACTCAAAACCCTAGAGAGAGAAAGTGAAACCCTAGAGAGAGAAAGCTTCATTTTTCCATGTCTATGGTGCTTGATTTAGCTCGTTTTTAGTCCCTAAATCTATTTCTATGGCTAGAAAGAAGAAGCAAGATACTCCTGCCCCATCTAAGCTCACAACTGAAATCACTGAGTCACTATTTGTTCCTGTTTCAGCTGGAATTCAGACTGTTCATGAGGTGTTTGATGAGGGAGATGAACTTGTCACACCTGCTCCTGGCCTTGTCCACCCTTCTGCAGGAATGATTTCTAGGAGAGATGCTGAATTGCTGGCTTTAAGTTTTGGTTCGGTTTGCCCCAAAACCAATGTAACAGTAACTTCTCCGGTTACTGTTCCATTGCCTAAACAAGCTGCTAGCCCTTCTAGGCCTTCTGTGGGTTCTGTATTGCAAAATTCTCAACCTCCTGTCACTAATGAAGCTATGCCTAAGTTGTTGATCAAGATTTGTCTAATGTTCGAGGGTTTACTGGAAAGCTGACTGCAAAAGGGTTTGCCCAGAATTTTGTACCTCCGCAAATTAAAAATGGTAAGTCAATAGTTGTTTTGCCGAGTGCTGAAATTGAGGAAGGAAATAGGAAGTGGAGTCATGCAATTGTTCTATATGCTGTTGGGTATTATCCTACTATTGCAGCTATTAAGCGTTTTATTGTTAATGAATGGAGTATTGATAATAATCCTGATGTGTATTGGCATGATGAGGAGTATTTTATAATTAATCTGCGTTCCCTAGATAATCTGAATTCTGTTATGTGTGAAAGCCCTCACATGTTTTATGGGAAACCAGTTATTGTTAAACCCTGGTCTGAAAAATTTGATTTCAGTGCTGAAATTCTTCGCACTGTTCCATTGTGGGTCAAATTGCCCAATCTTCCTCTCAATTGTTGTGGTGCTGAAACTTTGAGTCGAATTGGCAGCACCTTGGGTTTGCCAATTTGTGCTGATGAATGCGCTTCAAGATAGCTAAGAGTGTCGTTTGCTAGATTACTTGTGGAAATAGACATTACAAAACCTCTAGCAAAGTCTGTCTGGGTTGAAAGTCCTAAAGGTGAGACAGTGGAATTAAAGGTGATTTATGAGTAGACTCCTCCCTTCTGTGTTAAATGTAATAAGGCAGGACATAATTGTGATGATTTCAAATAATCAGCCTGATCCTGTAGTCCAAGTTCAGAAGAAGTTTTGGGTTCAAAAACAGAAGCAAGGGTCTGGAACTAAAGTTTCAGGTGAATGGGAAATCATGAAAAAGAAAGGTAAAGAACCTGCTGTAGCTGTGAAGCCTGTTCTTACAACTAATAAATTTGATATTTTACCTGATGAGCAATATGATGATGTTGTCTTGAGATATAAGCCTAGCGGGGGTGGGCCCCCTCCAGTTCAATGATTATCAATGTTTGGAATATTAGGGGTCTTAATGATCCCTCTAAAGTGGTTGATGTTAGGCAGCTGCTTGATAGGACTAATGCTGATATAATCTGCTTGCTTGAGACTTGAGTTAAATAGTTGAAATGTGTTGGGATTCAGAGGAAGATTGCACATGGTTTGTCCTGGATGTGTAATTATTCTGAGTCTAGGAAAGGTAGAATTTGGTTGGGGTGGAAGAATGATAGAGTGCATGTTGATGCTATTACTGTTCATGCTCAGTTCATTCATTGTATTATCAGTACTCTTGATTATAGTACTCAGATCACTGTGTCTTTTTTTTTATGGTTTACATAATATTCATGATCGGAAAGATCTTTGGAGAGGTATTGGAGCTATTGGTTCTGTGTCCATGCCCTGGCTTTGCACTGGGGATTTTAATTCTGTTTTGTTACCTGAAGATAGAGTTCATGGAAATGTAGTAACAGATTATGAAGTTCGAGATTTCAAGGATTTTATTGATCAAATGAATTTTTCTGAGATCAAAAGTAAAGGGTCTTATTTCTTATGGTCTAATAAGGCTCACTCAGGCCCTAGAACTCAAACCAGAATTGATAGGGGTTTGGTTAATAGTGAATGGCTCTTTCAATTTCCAAATGTGGAAGCTGTTTATCTTCCTCCCTCCCTTTCTGATCATGCTCCTCTATTGTATGAGGTTCTCCCTCCTGCTCCTTGTAAGGGAAAGCCCTTTAGATTTCTTAATCATATGCTTACTCACCCTGATTTCATGAATATAGTGGATGAAATTTGGAGTGAAGGTTTTCAGGGTAATGCTATGAATAGAATTTGGAGAAAATGCAAGAATCTGAAGGTTAAGCTTAAAGAGCTTAATACCAAAGCTTATGGTAATGTTGAAATGAGAGTTGATTTAGCTCAACAGGCTGTTTTGGAAGTCCAGAACCAAATGGCTAATGATCCTCATTCTGACTTGCTGGTTCAGGAGGCTACTGCTATTCAACAACTCAAATACTGGAGATTTGTTCAGGAGAGCATTTATAGACAGAAAGCTAGGGTGGAATGGGTTAAACTTGGTGACTCCAACACTAAGTAATTTTTCTCCATGATGAAACAGAGGCAAGCTAGGAACAGAATTGATTCTCTTTTATAATGAACACCATGTGCTCCTTAAAACTCCTGCTGATATTGAGGCAGAGATTGTGTCTTTTTATAAACTTCTCCTGGGTTCGAGCTCTTCTGTCCTTGATGCTATTGATCTTAATACCATGAGAGCTGGGAAACAGCTTTCTGCAGAAGCTCAGAATTTGCTTATTAGTCCTGTGGTTAACTCTGAGATTGACTGTGCAATCAAAAGCATCTCTGATGATAAAGCCCCTGGTATTGATGGGTTCAACTCTAAATTTTTCAAGCATACCTGGACATTATTAAACTTGAGATCTATGAAGCTGTCCATGATTTTTTTGATATAGGAACTTTGCATCCTCAGTGGAATTGTACAACTCTTACCTTGGTTCCTAAAATCCAGAATCCTTCTTTTGTAAAGGATTTCAGACCTATAGCTTGATGCACTGTTCTTTATAAGATTATCTCCAAGATCTTGACTGCCAGGCTTGCTCAAGTTGTTGGAGATATTGTTGATGAAGCTCAAGCAGGTTTCATTCCTGGTAAACATATTGGAGACAACATCTTATTAGCTACAGAGCTAATCAAAGGGTATACTCATAAGCACATTACCCCTAGATGTATGATTAAGGTTGATCTGAAAAAAGCTTATGACTCCATTGAATGGAGTTTTCTAAAGGCTGTAATGTTTGAGCTTGGTTTTTCTTCTGTGTTTGTTAATTGGATTATGGTGTGCATTTCTACAGTGTCATTTTCTATTTTGATAAATGGCTCTCCTTCTGTTCCTTTTAAAGCTCAGAAGGGTCTGAGACAAGGTGACCCCATGTCTCCTTTCCTCTTTGCTATAGGAATGGAGTATTTATCCAGATTCTTGCATGATTTGGCTACTGTACCTGATTTTAACTTTCACCCTAGATGTGAGAGGCTTCTTATTACTCACTTAATGTTTGCAGATGACCTGTTGTTGTTTACTAGAGCTGATGAGTGTTCTGTTCAGCTTTTGTTTAAAGCTTTTCAGAAGTTTTCTAAAGCTTCTGGTCTTGAGGCTAATTTGCTTAAGAGTGAGGTGTATTTTGGAGGGGTTGGCATTGATTTACAGGCTGCTCTTTTGAGTAGATTAGGTATGGTTGCAGGATCTATCCCTTTCTTGGAGTGCCCCTTTCTTCTAAGAAATTAACTATTCAGCAATGCAAACCTCTGGTTAACAAGATTACTAGCAGAATTGAAGGGTGGGCTTCAAAGTTTCTCTCTTATGCTGGTCGTTTACAGCTCATTAAGAGTGTTCTTTTTGGAATTCAAACATATTGGGCTCAAATTTTTATTTTACCTAAGAAGATTATGAAGGAGATTGAATCTAGATTTAAAGCTTTCTTGTGGACTGGTAATGCTAATCCTTCTAAGAAAGCTCTTATTGCTTGGAGCACTGTTTGCTTGCCTAAATCATGTGGAGGCTGGAACATTATTTCTCTTCATGATTGGAATATCTCTGCTATCTGCAAGATCTTATGGGATATAGCTCACAAAACTGATTCTCTCTGGGTTAAGTGGGTTCATATTTACTATTTCAGGTCAGTCAGTTTCTGGGAGGCTGATATTCCTAAGAAAAGTTCCTGGGTGCTTAGGAAAATTATGAAATATAGGGGGCTGATTGATGATATTGGTGGATGGGATCCTGTAATGAGTAATAACAGGGTTCAAATCATGCTGATCTATAAGAAACTCAAGATACAGGCTCCAAAGGTCCCCTGTAAAAGACTTACATGTAATAATGGTGCCTCTCCAAGGAGCATCTTCATCCTTTGGCTGGCTCTTTGGAACAGGCTGCTTACTAAAGATAGAGTTCTCAAATGGAATCCTACTTATGACCCTGTTTGTTTACTGTGTTTACAGGAAAATGAAACTCCTCGTCATCTTTTCTTTCTCTGTAACTATTCTAAGAGAATCTGGGAGAAGGTTTTACAACTTCTCAAATGTCACAAGTCTGTTCAGGGCTTTGATCAGGAAATGGATTGGGCTATGAAGAGAGGTAGAAGATCAAATTCAAATGCTAGGCTTCATCTGATGTTCTTGGCAGAGACTGTTTACAGCATTTGGATACAGAGGAACAACACTATGTTCAATGGCAATCGTGAGCCTGCTGAAACTGTTTTCAGGGCAGTGGTTTACAGGGTTTCCTGCAGGTGTAATGAGGCTGACAGACAGGCTTTGATCTCTGTGCCTACTTAGTTTTGATAGTTGCTTGTTGCTGTTCTGGTTTTGTCTTGTTTCTGGTTGATTACTGTTGTTTAGCTTTGTGCTGTTTTGCTTAGCTTGTTTTCAGGTTGTTTGTCCTGTTCCTTTGGTCCTTAGTCACCCTCCTAGAGGGTAGCTTTGGGTCTCTGCATTCAGATGGGCCTTGCTTGGTCTTTTGGACTTCAAAAACCCTTCGTAGAAGGTGGGCTGACAGTTCAAGGCCTTGGCCAGTTTGTTTTTCTCTTTAGGCTTTATTATCTTTTTTGGCCTGTTGTGTTTATTCCTTATTTCTACTGTTTTCAGCTTCTTTGGTAATAAAAGTCTATTTACCCAAAAAAAAAAGTCAAATACATTCTACAAAGCTAATTGAATCAGATGAAAGTCAAACACATTCAAACAAAGCAATTTAAATCAAATGAAAGTGAAATACATTCTACAAAGCTAATTGAATCACATGAAAGTCAAACACATTCAAACAAAGCTATTTGAATCAAATGAAAGTCAAATACATTCTACAAAGCTAATTAAATCAAATGAAAGTCAAACACAATCAAACACAGCTATTTGAATCAAATGAAAGTCAAACACGTTCAAACAAAGCTATTTAAATCAAATGAAAGGGAAATGCATTCTATAAAGCTTATTGAATCAAATTAAAGTCAAACACATTCAAACAAAGCTATTTGAATAAAATAAAAGTCAAATACATTCGACAAAGCTAATTGTATCAACAGAAAGTCAAACACATTCAAATAAACCTAATTGAATCAAATGAAAGTCAAACACATTCAAACAAAGCAATTTAAATCAAATGGAAGTGAAGTGCATTCTACAAAGCTAATTGAATCAAATGAAAGTTAAACACATTCAAACAAAACTATTTGAATCAAATGTAAGTGAAATACATTCTACAAAGCTAATTGAATTAGATGAAAGTCAAACACATTCAAACAAACCTATTTGAATCAAATGAAAGTCAAATACAATCTACAAAGCTAATTGAATCAGATGAAAGTCAAACACATTCAAACAAAGCAATTTAAATCAAATGAAAGTGAAATACATTCTACAATGCTAATTGAATCACATGAAAGTCAAACACGTTCAAACAAAGCTATTTGAATCAAATGAAAGTCAAATACATTCTACAAAGCTAATTGAATCAAATGAAAGTCAAACACAATCAAACAAAGCTATTTGAATCAAATGAAAGTCAAACACGTTGAAACAAAGCTATTTAAATCAAATGAAAGGGAAATGCATTCTATAAAGCTAATTGAATCAAATTAAAGTCAAACACATTCAAACAAAGCTATTTGAATAAAATAAAAGTCAAATACATTCGACAAAGCTAATTGTATCAAATGAAAGTCAAACACATTCAAATAAACCTATTTGAATCAAATGAAAGTCAATGACCAAGATGGTCAAGGGTCAACTATCCATGGTCAAGATGAGGAGGTTCAACACGGTGCTATTGAGCAAGGTGCTAAGGGATTATTCTTGTCTAAATCATTCTTCAATCCTATGCACGGTTTTAGTCCAAAGAGTTTAACAAATGGTTACACTTCCCTTAGTGTAATTAATCTTGTTGAAGGTATCTAGTACATGAGCCGTTTTTCCAAGCTTGAAGCCACGCATGATTTATGCATTTGGGAGTTACATTGGACTGATTTTGACAGCGTGATTCAAGGCTTGTGTTGGGCGTGAATTAAGGCATTAGTTGGCTGATTATTCTACCTCTTTACTTGGGGTTTACATGTACTTAATTAGAGAGTTGTTGCTAGAATAAAGGAGCTTGAATCAAGGGTTTAAATGGGAGGTTACAAGCGTGACTCAAGGGGGTTGTTTGCATGTTTTCTTGGACGTTGAAAATGCTGTTTGAAGACCTCATGATTGCTGAACGTTTTCTCCTTAATTTAAGCATAGTTTTAAGCTTAGTTGATTAGTTTTACTTTGTTGTTATGAGGGGTTAATTGGACAGTCATATGAGCCTTTTAATCACCTTATAATTAGCATTTTATCTTGTCTTTTAATTAGGCAAGTGATGGATGATCATTAAAAATTGTAGAAGGGAATCCTATGTTCCTTTATGTAACTTATACACTACTATAAATAGTGTACTATGCATGAATGAAAAGCATCCAGAAATTTGCTTAAACACTTGTGTTTTGTTGATTAAACGTGACTTAGCAATTAGTCATTTTTAAGGTCCAAGTTTGATAACTCAAATTTGAAGAGTGCTAGTTTTGGTAGAGTGTTCCCAAACCTAGGAACTTGCGTAGTGAACGAGTGGGTTGAGTGTTCCCCATTCCTAACTACACCAAGCAAAGGGTGAGTGTTCCCCTTTGTTATATCCGAGACTAGGGTTGAGTGTTCCCCTATTCTCCCCTTCACTAATCACGATTTCACTAAGACCCCTTAAAACGTACTTTTGTAACAAGGTTCTCATCTTGCTTACACATCATTTGGCGCGTCAGGTAGGGGGTGTTTTCCTAAACATTTCCTAAGGGGTCGTATACCTACACACCATGGGAGAGAATCAAGACTTGAGGACAGCCTTGGAAGCTCTTAATCGATCCATTGCTAGTCAAGAAAGGTTGGCCGAAACCAATGCCAATCTACAAGGGAACCTTGCTGCCTTGATGGCAAGGCTCATGAACGAGCAAGATAGGAGAGATCAAGATGAAGACCCTCCACCTAGGAGGGAAGATAGGAGTCTCAAAGTGGACGTCCCTTCTTTTGATGGGACACTTGATCCAGAGAAGTACTTGGAATGGGAGAAATCCTTGGAAAGGTACTTTGAATACAAGGACATTCATGAGGATGTTCAACGTTTTAAGATTGCCAAAGTCAAGTTGAAGGGCTATGGTGATAGTTGGCTACAAGGAGAGCAGAGGGGACGTACCCTTAGGGGGAAAGCTCCTATCTCTACTTGGGGCAAACTCAAGAAACGGATGAAAGACCGTTTCATCCCCCACAATTACAAGCAGAGTCAATATGTGAAGTGGAGTACCTTGCAACAAAATGGGGACTCTGTGGAGGATTACATAAAAGAGTTTGATAGACTTGCTATTGTGTGTGAAGTAACCGAAAATGAAGAGCTCAAAATGGGGCGTTTCATATCTGGTTTGGACCAAGAATTACAAGACAAACTTGAAGGTTATACTAACCTCACGTTTGCTGAAGCTTGCAAGTTGGTGATTAAGTTCGATGCTAAGAGGAAGAAGAAGAAGCCTACTACCATTCCTCAATTGGCACGAAAACCTTCTTTTCCTACGAAGGAAGGTTCTTCCTTTAACAAACCAAGTAATCCACCAAAAAAGGACACAAAGGACGTGAAGCTAGGTGACATTGTGTGTTACAAATGTGGAGGACGAGGTCATTACAAGAAGGATTGTCCTAATACTAGGGCGTTAACCATATAAGAGGTTAAGCTCATGGCCACTCAAAACATCAACTGGGATGAGTTTGAGGAGGGGGAAGAAGAAGTTGAAGATGATTGTGATGATTGCATTGCCGAGCCAGAGGAGAAGACTAGCCTCGTGATTAGGAGGGCCTTACAAGCACGTGTGGAAGAGGATGCTGCCCCCCAACGACAACACATTTTCATCACCCGTTGTAAAATTGGTGACGAGGTATGTGATTTGATTATTGATGGAGGAAGTGAGGCTAATACCGTGTCTAAGACCCTAGTATCTAAACTTGGTCTTACGACTACTAATCATCCACAACCTTACAAATTAAGTTGGTTAGATTCTAATGCTAGCACTGGGGTTAGGAAGCAATGCATGGTTTCTTTTTGTATTGGTTCGTATTGTGATTCTATATTATGTGATGTTGTGTCCATGGATGCTTGTCATATTCTACTTGGTAGGCCTTGGCAAACTGATAAAAGATCTATACATGATGGGTATCACAACACGTATACCATAGTCCATGAAGGGAGAAAGAAAAAACTACACCCTTTACCACCCCCACGGTTTTCACCATCACAAACACCCCAAAAAGAAGTATCCTTGTTGTCTCTTAAAGAGTTTGAAAGGGAGTTAGATGGTGAGGGAGAGTTGTTCATACTATACTCCAAAGAAACCCACGAAAATTTTGTTGCTCAAAATCCTAAGTTAGCCCAATTGATTAAGGATTTTGAGGACGTTTTTCCGAATGAATTACCTAAAGAACTACCACCCATACGTGGAATTGAGCATCAAATCGATCTCATTCCCGGAGCACCTTTGCCAAATAAGCCAGCCTATAGGTGTAACCCTTTAGAAACTAAGGAATTACAACGTCAAATTGAAGAGCTAATGGGGATGGGTTATGTGCGTGAGTCCATGAGTCCATGTGCCGTTCCTGCTTTGTTGGTCCCTAAGAAAGATGGTACTTGGAGAATGTGTATTGATAGTAGAGCCGTTAATAACATTACTATCAAGTACAGGTTTCCAATTCCAAGGCTTGATGACATGCTTGATGAGTTAAGTGGTTCCAAGGTCTTCTCAAAGGTAGACTTGAGAAGTGGGTATCATCAAATTCGCATGAGAGAAGGGGATGAATGGAAAACCGCGTTCAAGACAAAGCATGGGTTGTATGAGTGGCTCGTCATGCCATTTGGCCTTACAAATGCCCCTAGCACGTTCATGAGATTAATGAATGAGGTGCTAAGGCCATTTCTTGGCAAATTCGTGGTAGTATACTTGGATGACATTCTCATTTATTCACGTGATGAAGAATCTCATTTTGATCATCTTTTCCAAGTATTTTCTGTTTTGAGGCAAGAAAAATTGTATGGGAAACTAGAAAAATGTGATTTTTTATTGTATGAAGTCATGTTTCTTGGTTACATAGTTTCAGGTGATGGCGTGAAGGTGGATCCTAGCAAAATTGAAGCAATCCAATCATGGCCTAGTCCAAGGACACTCACGGAAGTTCGTTCATTTCATGGACTTGCCTCCTTCTATAGAAGATTCATCAAGAATTTTAGCACACTCATGTCT